CTGGGTAGTTTTGTTTTGGTTTTAATTTAATTTTATTTTTTATTTATTTAATTCCTGGTACATCTGTTTTGTATCATTTTATACACGGACTGCAGCTGCAGAAAGAATGAACAAATTAAGATGCTTAAGTCAGTAATTATTTCAAGCCCAGTACTGCTGAACAATGTATTTTCTCAAAGAATAAAGGTATAAATGAAGAGGGTTAAAGCTGTGTAGCTCAAGTCACTCTGATTTAAAATGAGCTGTAAGAGAACAAAATACATATTTTATATAATTAGCATGAACTTCATGTCATTGTTCAGTTTTGTGCTAACAGCACATATAAGCCTTCCTTGAGGAAGATTAGCAGCATTTGCTGAAGAGTTCAAGGTCACTAATTCTCTGAGTGTTAAATAGGGAAACTCTGTATGTTTCTGCTTCCTGATGTGTGTTAAATATTTGGAGAATGAGTTAACTAGATTTCTTTTTTTCTCTCTAGAACCTAGTATTTTAAATTCAGTGTCACTGAAATACATATGCTGTGTGAGAACAAAATGTAGACTGTGTGCTGGCTTATCTGTAGACATAAGCAGAGGTTGACATTAAAAATCCTCAATAGTTGCTGCATTTGAGAGATTATATTATCCATGTTTGCAGCAGTGTTCAGATGACTGTATCACACAGCAATCTGCCATTAGAGATGATCCCAGAGAACTGTTTCTGTAGCATTTTTTATGAATAACTTTTTTATCCAGGTCCTGTAATATGAAATCCTGTGGTTGCTGAGGAAATCATTGCTTGTTATTGTTGTAAGCACATCTGTAATAAAATTTTGCAAAACTTTTTATCATAAGCAGATCAATCTTTCTTTGAAATTTTGGTCAGAGTCCTCCTACAACATCCTCAGATAAGCGTGTTCTGAGCTTTTGGCTTATGATGAGTGCCTGAACTTGGGTGAATGTCATACACCTGAGATTCAGTTAAAAAATTAAAGATGACTTCTGCGCAAAAGTAACTGGATAAACTGTGGTCCAGATGAGCGAAAAGTTTTATAAAAACCCCAAAAGTTTCAGCTGCTGGAATGGCTATCAATTGCCTGGCTGGCTGGCTTCAGACATTCACACCTGAAAAATCTCTCTGGTCGACACCCTGATCTTGTGTGAATGACTGGGCCTTTGAACCTTTCCACTGGAGTCTCAGGGCTTGTCTGCATGAAGAGGGTGGTTTGCTTTTAGTGGCTAGGCTTTTAGTTTATAGAGACATGACTTCTATGCATTTTTCATTTTCATTTTTTTATACAAATTGTCTGTAGTAATTTTTTTTTAAATCTTGAACAGTCAAAGCTACATTTGCCATAACTGTCAGAAGTTATCCTCTCTAAACTATTGAGATAGTGCCATTAAAATGAAAGTACTGATGAATCTAACGAGATGGGAAAGTGACTCTTTATGGACAGATTACTTTTATAATCATATGTCAGAAATCCTGTAATGGAGAAGTAATTAATATAGAATGGTTAACAGTAAGAAAAAATGAATAATTCCTGGCTATGTTATACAAACAAACTTTCCAGTGCCTCTATTGGAGATGTTTATTAATCTAAACATGCACAGTATATCATTGAGGTATTTTCTTGCATGATTGATCGATTGAATTAGTTGTTCACTGGGAGAGGGATGGAGTATCTGAGTATAATGGGAGGCAGGGAAAAAGGGAAGAGAAATTGACTTTCTTCAGGAGACATATTAGCAAAACAAATGAACGGTTTTTGCTAAGCAAAATCAGCATTCATTTCTGCATACTAGAGAGAGTGTATTATGGAGAGCATCATGTAGAGCTGAAGGTCAAGGCCAATCTGCTTGCTTCCTATTTTTCAGTGATCCATTATTTACCCTTGCTTAGTCAGAGTAGCTGGTACTTCCAAAGAGGAAAACAGAAAGCAAAAAGAAATGGCAGCAAGAAGAGCTTGTACATGGTGTCTTAGTTATTATTGTAATGTGCACACACCACCACAATCAAACTCAAGCACCCTGAATGCACCAATTAGTCACTCTAGTAGCAGTGAAGCAATTAAACTGAATACACATCTTTGCCATAAGATGTAGATGGAATAGGAAGAGAGTTGTCACACAAATAGACTGGAGTTTCTTTGCCTGCTGAGTTCAGTACTGTAAAAAGCAGAATACCACTTGATGAGTGTTTTTCCACTTGTCATTTATTTCTGCTTTTTCCAGACTGAGGACAGCTCTGTATAAGACAAAAAATTATGTATTTGTGTTATTGTAGATTCTAGGAGCACTACCCATAGGGCTTTCTCTCTAAAGCAATTCATTCCATATGGGTGGGTTACTATAATTATATCTATGCAGATGCTGAATCCACTTACAATATGCAGAAACCATGGCTGTTGTTTTCCCAGAAAACTGCAGAAAAAACTGGAGACCAAAGCCAGCTATTAATCTGGCCTATTAGTATGTGGACAGAATGACTGATACTGGTTTCTCCTCCCAGATTATCCATTCATTTCTGAGCTGTTTTTCTATACAGCTAGTGTACACAGAAGATGCAAAACCTGATATATTGAGTTTCCTTCCCCTCTGAAAAAGTAATTAAAAATATAACTTTTTTTTCCAAGACAAAAATGGCTACTTCCCATAGACCTGATCTGAATGGGAATATGTGGCTAAACTACGTTGCACCTACTGTATGCTGTGTTGCAAGGCTATAATACTGAATGTTAAACCACAGTGGATCCTCCCTGTATGGCCGTGCTTATTTCTCTGGAAATATCTTTCATAATTCCCTCTCTGTTTTCCTCCCCGTTTGGTTGTTTCTCCCCTTTTTTACTTATGTCTGAGGTATTCTGGGTGGGATAGGATCCTACTAAAGCATATTTATGCCATACTAGATGCCCCCATTCTCTTTTCATTATTATTTGTCTCACTAGCATGTGAAATGTTTTTCTGGATATTTCCATCTATAATCTTGCACAGCTCAGGATTCAGAGAATTAGAAATTAAGCCCATGTTGAGTTTCTGGGTACTTTAGGTCTTCCCTGCAACTACAGACTATATGAGCTATGAGCTCAAACTCATCTTTTGTGAAATACCGCGTAAATTCCTTGTTGCTGTGTCTATGGTTTTAAAGTCGTAATGCAGATAGAAGTGTGAAATATTAAGCATATCTTTTTATGTACTTGGAATTGATGGCGACTTCAAAGTCAGTCCTCATTTATTGCCTGGTTTGTTTCACTTCAGAAATGGCTTGAACTGTGAACAAAAAAGGAGCCGACAGTATTTTCAAACAGGCGCTTTAGAGTTGTGCACTTTGCCACTATATGGTAGGACTGTCTCTGTTGCCTTGAATGCAAAATTGGCTTGTTGATACGTGCTCCTACAGACAGAGGAACAGATGTAGTAATTCTATTTTATTTACATGAAATCTCTAAAAAGGCGTTTTCTGGCAGCATGCTAGGAATAAATACAGTATCAAATATAAACCGCGCCGTGCCATGTTAGCTCATTCAGGTGTCAGCTGTGCCATTTCAATGTGAGTGAGAGCAGGGAGTTGGATCTCTCCCAGCAGGGTTGGAAGCTCTCTCATACTCAGCAACCCTGGCACCAGCCTGTCCCTCTGCCCAGGGACCCTGTCTGTAGCCCCCAGGTTGGGGCTCTGCAGAGGGCAAACAGGGACGTGCCCGTCAGTCCACCCACTGATAAACCCCTGTGGGAGGCCTAGAGGAAGATATCAGATGTCCTGATTCTTTATTTCTATTTTTTTTCCAAAATAGGAAACTCTCTTACCTTTTTTCCTGGTTTGGTTTATTTGTTTGGTTGTTTCTTTGTTGGTTTGTTTGGGATTTTTTTGTTTCACTCTGCCCACCCTCCCCTCCCCCTTTACTTTCTGTGACTCAGAGCTCCCATGAGCTCGTGTTTGCAGGTTTATTGTTCATAGCCAAGAGCTTCAGGAACTTAACTGAAATTAGGAAATTATGGGGGAGGAAGGGACCATCGGGGTGGGGGAGATTGCAAACCACAGAGAAGTTCATTATCTGAGTAAAGAAGTGAGGCTTAAGTAAAACCCTGTGAGCCTTTTGAGCTGGGAGTATGAGAACTGGTGACTGATGCTAAACTGGCTAACTGCCACAAAGAAAAGCTTTTTCTGGGGGACTCTGCCCTTTTCCCCCTTCCTCTGTCCTTTGCCATTGTGCAAAGGCTGAGGAAGGAGGTATTACTCCAGGGACAGTCCTTGCTCTCCCTCACCATCTTAACTTAACTCACCTCCCCTAACTATCCAGTTTTAGCCAGGCAGCTGCCTCTGTTAAATTGTCCCTTTTTTCTCTCTCAGGTATTCAAACTTTGCAGTGTGGGGTTGGGGATATTTATTCAGCTTATGAGCAAGCAGACGTATTAGAGATGAAATGCCTTGACTCTGAACTGCAGGCAGAAGGGGTGGGAGGAGACGCAGCTAATTTAACTTGGAGGATGATTGATGTGTATATGTCAATTTCTATTAATACTCTTTTGAAATCACTGACGCAAGCCTGTTTTTCCCCCACTCAACAGAAAATATAAATAGAAAGACAACAAAACAACCCTATCCCTTTAATTCACAATACTCAAAAGCAGTTAGGCAAACTCTGTCATTCGAGAGTGTCCTCCACAGGCTGGCAAAACGCAGCTTATGGGGGTGTTCTTACCACTTTAAGAATATCAAGATGCTCTAACGGAGCTATCCACTTACTGTTAAAATGTATAAAGCACAAAAAGCAAGTATCACCTACAAATAGGCTTAGATAAATTGCTTAAAAATGTGCAGTTCCCTCATTAGACAGCCATTCATTGCATGAAAAGAAGTAAATGTATTTGTAGAGGTGTAGCTATAAAAGGCATGTTCAAAATGAAACAGAGTTGAGAGCCTGAACGCACAGCACTGTTATTCAGAAGTAGCTTTCGAGCAGAGAGTTTCAACGGGAAGGTGCTGTTTGGTTGGACAGAAATCAGCAAACGTTTAGCTGGAGCGTGCATAATTCAAGCGTGCATGAAGAGCTGTGCTTTCTGAGGAGACAAAATGCAAGAATAAAAGAAAAAAATCTTCAAACATTCACATCAGCCTTAGAGGACAATACAAGCAGCAGGATTTGAAAGAGATTTGCAGATGCACTCTCTTTAGGCAGGGAGAATTCTCATTAAATGCAAGATGCTTCTGTGGCTTGTGGGCTTGCACGGAGGTAGAGGTTTGCAAGACTGACGTATCAGATAAAGTCAGAGTGGTTACCACACCGACGGTGTAGCAGCTGCATAATAAATGATGGAGAGAATCATGTTAGGCATGCCCACCTAACCTAACTTGAATCATGCGAAAGGGGAGCTGCTGGAATTCAAATAGACTTTCTGGTTCCCAGCAGTCGGCAGTAATAGAATGCTTTCAGGAAGATGACAGATGCAGGGGAAAGATGCTGTTTTGCACTATCTTGATTTGTTACGGCAGCCAACTTATTGGCATGATGGAGTGACAAGAAAAGCAGCTGGCATGGAAGGTAGGATTATCAAAGCTATTGCATCATTATGAATGTAATTAGAAACTGACCATGACAAAGCATATGCTAGAATGAGCTGTCGCCGATGGCAGGGGATTTGTTGCTGAGATCTTGAAACTCTGAAAACAACATTCCTCGTGCAAAATGGATTTTGCAGTTTCATTTATGCTTGTGTTACTCTTTCTTTGCTGCTCGCCTCCAAGCTCGGGAAATTGCTTGCTTGAAAGAGAGTGTCGTGCTAGGATGAGACTGAAGAATAAAGTCTTTTCTAAGTCTGTGAAGCCTCAGGTAGATAGGAACAAACAAATGTGAAACAAGACTAGGAAAAGCTCTCTCGGATTCACTAGCAAGCTCTGACCTATAGGTATATTGAGGAATCCCAAGGATATGAAGGTGCATGTACTGAATGTTTTGGTATAACGAAAAGATATTATTGCAGGTCCCTGCTTTACAGTTAGTTTTTATGACAGGTTTTATTCCCCATCAGTTTTTAGCTCTTGACATTTATCCGGTTGTTCAGTATTATATAAAGAAAATACATCAATATCTCCTGCAGGGTTTCTCAACAACTTCAGCATCTGTTTCAGCTATTGAACTGTATTCACGTTTTGCCAACTTGATGCCTACCCAGCTGGTCTATCATTTCTCGCTTGATTACTGTTCTTAATTTCTCTGTATCAGCTTGTTTCAGACAGGATTTTGAAAGCTGTTAATGAGAAATGACAGTAACTGCTAAACTGTTGAGAACTGGAGTATTCTCTTATTTTTGAAACATCAGAGAGCATTTTTGTGTGCATTTTATTAAATTCATGTTATGTGTTGTACTGTGAGGTTTTCATATAATAATTAAATTTAGCTGTGAATACTTTGAACTAGATGGGTCACAAGCATAACTTTCAACTGACTATTTTGAGAGAGTTTGAGAAAATGTACAGGTGTTTGCTTTGGTGTAGGTATTGTCTTAATATTTGTTCCTTCCTCCTGTCCACCTCTCCCCCCACAACATATATACCCTCTCTCAGTCACAGTGAACAGTCATTAAGTGTATACTGTACATATTGAAATATATTTTATCACCACTAGGGTGAAACTGCTAAGCAGCTCTGAACAGGTGATTTGAACAGGTTTAAAACAGACGTCAGCTCTATCAGAGTGGATCACCCTCGATGTAAGAAGTATTGCTTTCTAAATGTAAGGCATTCTCTTTCCTTCCTATTTGCAGGTTTAACAACCTCTCAAACACTGCTCGATAGCTCACAGGTGATGATTATGTTAAATTATTTGGATTATTTGGCTTTACAAAATTATTTATTTTATGTAAACTTTATTCTTCATTAGGTCTATATTTTTTTCCAAGGAGATGATCAAGAAATCTCTTGTCACACTGGGTATTCACTTTTCTGAATTTATCTTAAATTACTTTGTTGGCTGTACTCTATGTTGTCTTGTCAAAAGGGAATCAGGCTATTAAACACTAAATGTTGCTGAGTGAAGCTGTTACAGTTTTAGAAAGATAGATGTTTCTAGATACGCAGCAGTGAACCAGCCTTTAGAAAGTTTGAAGGTAAGGATCAGTAAAACTGATATACTGTTTGCTAGTTTGAACATTTCCCTGCTTTGATCATCTCTGTGAGGCATTTTAAATTATTTTGTAACTGCCAGAAAGGGAGATGTACTTACTAATGGAGAGGATCACTGTGGGGTATGTATAGCCAAAGATAGTTCTATAGTTTTGATGACAATAAAAAAAATATTATTCCATTTCATGGAAGTTCAGTTAAATTTAACAATAATTTGTTGTTGTTGATCAATGAAACCATAGAGAGAATAACCCTTATAAGCAGCTTAAGTGCCATTCTCCTTTTCAGGGTAGTAGTAAAACTGTTTTATATTGCATATATGATATTTATACTCCTGAAGCTGCTAGTCTCTTTTCTCAAGAGTGCTTGCTGGAAATCATCATACAGTAGTTACTTAAAATGGCCTTTTCCCCATGATGCCAGAAATTGTAACTGCATGCTGTCTGTGGTCGTCATCCAACTGACAAGTGATTTTATAGTTTGTTTCTGGTTTATCTCTAGTATTTGGTTTTAGCTTTCTCTTTCGCTGATGAAGTAAGACGACACTAGGTGGAGCTAGCTGTTGATTATAAATAGAGCCACAGTAATACAGGCCTGTCTAATGAGCAAGCCCCTGTCTATAACGATTATTAATAAAAATAACAATTTTAAATGTTAAGAATTGAGTTGAAACTTAGCCATGAGAGTCTAGATCTGGTGAGACTAGAGGAAACCATTTCTTCATTTCCCTTTCCTTTTATTATCTTAAAAGCTTGTAGTCAAATATGAAAAATAATAATAAGGAAAAAACTTTTACATTCAATAAAGAGGTCTGGGAAGAAAAAGAATGGAAATAGAAAAAGAAAAGAGAAGCAGCAATAAGAGGCAGTAGATGTTTCCACTGTAGATACATGCAGATATCCAGTTGTGTATGTACATCTTTAGTCTGATGCACATAGATTTTCTCTCGTCCTTACATTTAAATCCTCTTTCCATTCTGTCTTCCTGAGGTAATTTATAGAGCTGACATCTTTCACTTTATATTTAGATATGGGACCGATGTTTTTCAAACCTCTTCTTGGGAGGGTGATCTGAAAGGTGTGCAAGGGCACAGAAAGTTGTCACTCACATGTTGGCCAGAGATAATTAAGAAAAATGTGAAAGGATATTTACTGACTGAGATGGGATCTGATTGTATGTGCTCCTTCACATGATTCCAGTTATTAATCCTAGTCAAGGATAAGAAATCTGTAGTCCTAGGCAGTGTGACAACATATGAAAAATACGCTCAGTTCCACACAGATTTACTGATATGTACCTTAGATATGGTGCATATATTAATGCAGCAATGAAAAGACAGAAATCAGGATATATGCTGATACTTAGGTACAGGAACTGAAGAGTAAAAAACAGGGAATAAATAAGAAATATGTGATGAGTACAAGGTAAGGGACAGGCAAACACAGAGATTAAGGATATGGGCTTGGGGCAGACTGGCAGAACAATTCCCATCAACCTCTGTTGATTGAAGCACCTGCAAGTTCAATCAGTGTCTTGTTCTTATAGCAGTAAAAGGGAATTAGGGTAGGGAGATACTCAAGTCAGTGATAAAAACTTGCACAAGAGGGAAATGACAGCAGCCTGATGCTCCAGGAGTAACAAAATCTAGAAGCCTGCAGACTGACCTTTTTGAATGTTAGAAACTTAAAATTTTAGTACTGACATGGTTAGAATGGTCCTGTTCTACACAAAACCAAATTGTGTATGGACACAATGGAGGAGTCTTGCAGGAAAGCAGTGCTGCATTGTCAACCTTAAAAGACCTTTTTGATTATGAGATCAATAGCACAAGCATGAGAGGTGATCAGCTATGGTGGAGACAAAGTTTATTAGTTTTACAAATCATTTAATATTTTACTGAGGCTAGGCCATGATTAATTGTTAATATTTTTTATTTTAATGGATAATCTCAACCAGAAACCAGGCTTTTCAAATATGTTATGGTGTCAGTACTTCCATATCTGCTTCTATACAGTTTTGTCAACCAGCACCCCAAGGCTCCTGCTTTAAATGACCTCATCCTGCTGTGTCCTGAATGTTCCTTCTGACAACAGCAAGATGTCTGTAGTGTGGCAGCTCTTGCCTTTCTGATGCTAGTCACCTGCTGCTTCACTCAGTTTGTGGTTCCTCCTGAACAAGATCAAAATTATAGTTGAGAAATACTCACAGTGTGGGGAAGTGTCTGACAATCTTGGGTAAGGGTCATGAGGAGCTCAGCCAGAAGAAAAAGGAGGTGTACTCCTCCTTCTCTCTATCATTAAAATCCGTCCATTTTAAAATCCACTAGAATGAGGAAGAGGACAGGAGGAGAGAAAACAGCGCATAAGGTGGGAATGAAGGGTCTTCAGGTGTTCCATGAGATGGTCATTTGATGAGTAAATGGTATTCACCTTGAAAAAAAAGCATAAGGAAAGGCACACATGGGAGTCAAGTTATCCAAGGGATATTACTGAGCGTTTGGTTATGTACTGCCAGAAAATTCTACAAAGATATATTACTTATATGCAAAATATGTTAATAAATTAAGTCTATTAGCAAAGAAGAAAATATTTTTGTCCTTCAAAAGCCAGAATTCAAATTCTGTGGGTTATTAATTTATTCTTACTGTGTAACAGAATTAAAATTGCTAAAAATTTGGGGGCATTATATTTGATAATAAATGCTGAAGGATATCCTTTCTCTTCATCCCAGATAGGAGCTGTTGGGTTTTTTTCTCAGAATATTAAACCACTTGTCCCTGAAATCATATTTTAACTTCTATAGGAAATGTTGAGATTTCCAGGAGCTGCTGGTTGTTGCTAAGTACCGTGTTAAATTTCTGTATAATACTCAAAGGAGTAAAGGGCAGGGGAAAGATGATCTATCTGAACTACCCAGACACAACTAGTTGCTGTCTTTTGTTCAGAAAGGCATCTAGAGAAATGTTAGAGAATTTTCTGAAGGCTGGTATTTTCTTGCTTCACCTTCTCACTCTGGAAAAATAAGGCCAGAATATTACTGTGTTTGAATTGGAAATAACAAGAAATCCTTCAGCTTCCTGCTCCACTGAATCTCACAGCCCATCTCCTTGGTGACAACACCAAGCTGAGTGGCGCAGTTGATAAGGCTGAAGGACAGGATGCCTTCCAGAGGGATGTGGACAAGCTCAAGAAGTGGGCTCATGGGAACCTGGTGCGGTCCAGCAAAGCCAAATGTGCCTGGGTCAGCTGTCAATCCAGGCTGGGGGATGAACAGATCAAGAGCAACCCTGCCAAGAGGGCCGTGGGGGTGCTGGTGGATGAGAGGCTGGGCATAACCTGGCAATGTTCACTCACAGCCCAGAAAGCCAATTGTATCCTGGGCCACAATAAAAGCAGCATTGCCAACAGGTTGAGGGAGGTG